TTTCTAAGCACAACAATGCAGTAAACTGAGGTAATGCAGTCACAAGAAATTGGTTTGAGGTATAAGGAGCAAAAATTTTACAAGCAGGATGGACTAAACAAATAAACAAATATATAAAAGAAGACCTATAATTATTAAATGATATCCATTTGAACTTACTCTCCTTATCTATTTTATCAGCAACTGCTTTTTGTTCTAATTCCCTCAATGCTGATACCAATGAATAAATAGACGGACCACCTTTAGTCTCCTGTATCTTGTCAGCTTTCTCTAACCATTTAGTAAGACATTCACGTAGACAGCTCTTAACATCATCTCTGTTATTCTTTGTAATGATATCTAGTGTAGCAGGAGATAGACCAAAAAACAGACCAAGCTCATAGTATGTGGTCCCTGAATAACCATGTCTTTTGAGTAATTGAAGTACCTTAGTAAGATCAGTAACTATTAAATAATTGTATTTAGTATGAGAAATAAGTAACTAAACATACTTTGCAGTTGATTTGTATTGTCTGCTCGTTCAGGAGAAGCCATTGAGCTCAAGTTTTGCAAAGAAGGGCGCGGCTCAGTAACAACGCCCACGTGATCTGATCTAGTTAAAGTAGGAGGAGCTAAGCCAGCCTTCTTTGTGCTGCTTGAAGGCTTGTTCTTGAAGGCTTGAACTGAGTAAGTCTGAGGTAGTCTCATCTTTTGTAAACTGATAATTCTATTTTATGTACTATTAGTGTCTATATATTTATCAGTAGTACTGGAGTAACTGATGGACCAGTGATACAATCATTGACTGATTCAAGTCATGACTGATGAGAATTACCAGCTCACTGGACCCTGACTCTAAGAAGTTAGTCTATAAGTATTATTTATTTATACTACTGTATGGGTACAAAATATCACGTGAGATTAATTTTCATTATTTTTGTTGTGTGAAGTTTTAATAATAATAATAATAATAACAACTTTACAAAGACAAAGACAAAGTTAACAAATAAAAGCAAAAGTTGGTAAAAAATGGTGTCTCTGAAGGACTCAATGACCGAATCAGAGAGCCTAAATAAATTAAA